ATAGCCCTTGTGTAGCTTTGCGCGAAATTCAAAAACAAACAAAAAGCATATTAAACCTCAGACTCCCACGAGGAAGTACACGTGCTACCACAGGTGAATAACCCAGAACAATAAGTAACCAGGGCGAAATAAACTTAGCTTCTTCCTTGACCAATGATATTTTCTAAAACTACACACACTGTACGTACGGAAATTTTTACGTTAAATGAGTGGGTTGGAAACACGTAGTATGCCTTTAGAGCATACCTATATTCTTCCCCTTATCTTCAGGCTGTCTCAAACTTCTAAGCTATCAGACCTGAAGGTGAAAAGACAAAGTGCGCAGCACATCATCACCACATCCATCAATTTACATAAATAAGATAATAGCTGGCTATTGAAATTACCTCCATGATCTTTGTGAATTTGTTCAAACAGGCTATCCAGTGCTCTGCCAATATATCGACAAGAGGCAGTTTTGAAGTATCGACCAATGGATAAACCTCAACTCACTTAGTGATGTAACCAATAACAACCATTATGCACCGATTGCCTTATTCAGTTTCTGGTATAGGACTAGCAGTATCCAGTATATTAGTTGTAAAGGAGAACCAACAGTTCTCTGTTGGAATTTACACTGTTTAAGCCAACTTTTCCTCTGGGCAGTAAACTCTGTACAATGTTTACACCATTACGCAACATGCTGACTGAAATATGGCCACCTTAGGATGTCAGCACAACTACATGTAACACCTTGATGAGCACCAGTCTTTGCATTATGTAAAGTATAAAGGATTGCTTAGTTATGTACTCTGGGAATTTATAACTTCAAAACAGGTTCAGAAGTATATTTTGATAGTTGATAATAATAATACAGTACAACTTCCTGCACTTGTAGATGGTTGTACAAGTGCAGCTGGTTACATGTGTCCACACTATGTGCCTCAGTTTGTGCTGCATGCCAATAAGCTGCTGTTTCTGTGGTTCCTGAAGTGGCAAGCGTGGTATCCAAACATTAGTGAAATTTCCTACTGTATGTCTTAACGTTGCCATGGAATTAATGGCCTTAACTCACACAAATGGATCTAGGATCTGGACATTCAATGAATTAACATAGCCTTACTGCATGACATATCCTTGATGTCAGCATGGATGATGTCATATGATAAATCCACACTCCTGCAATGTTGTAATCAAACATGCAGTCAACTTTTCCAGATTTTTTAAGTTCATAATCGACTTCAGTGACACTTGGCCCACCAGAATGTTTTTAATTTCCTTCCATACAGGCAATATTGGTGGTGTTTAATAAAGAACACAACTACAAGTTGTATCACAGTTAAAAGGAAGTTGGGTGATTACAAAACATCTAATCCTCATTACTTCTCGTATAGATCAAGTTAATGCTGTCCGACTTCTGTACAGAAAACTGTGCACTTCACGTGTTGGCGTTCTCACCACATCATATTACACCAATGCACCAGTTACATCAGCAGTAAACTATGGAACACGAGTTGTGTATCTGGAGATACTGTGATTCCTTCACAACACACTTGTCCATGCCCCTAAGTGGCTCAGCAATAATTCTGACGGCTTATAACGCTTAGAACTGGGTTTCGGTACCCATGGTGGGCACGGCACGGATAGCAAATTATGTAACTTGGTGCTTAACAACGAAACAAACAAACACTTGTCCATTTCCCTGTTCCTCGGCTTCATTGGATCACTTTCCTATGGAAATGCAGTTTACACCTAGCACAGAAAAAGCTGATAATTTCTATGTTAGGTCCACCTCTAGGGTACCAAGGTAGAAACATGGTTGCAAACAACTATTTTCGTTCTGTGATTGAATGTTTTTACACAGTAAGAGATATTCGTCATTTCGTCACATGTACATATTAACTGGTTGAAGTAGTAGCTATATTGTTAATCCTGTAATTCAGTTGTTAGGGCAATCACGGGATGTGCGAGAGATCTCAGGGTCGAATTTGAGCCCAAAAAATAGTACAAAAAATTTAAGCTACCACAGTATAAAACTGAATGATACGAAAGTCAAGACCGCTTGATCAATGAGGGGGTTTGATTTCATGTATTTCCCCCTGTGTATTTTGTACCTTTAATTTTACTGAACAATAGATATATTGAAAGACTAAATCGACTGTTTTGTGTTTTTGAACAGAAAAAATCTCCTGGGTATACAATGTCTCCGAGAATGTATCCACCGGCTAAAGACACACAACGTCCGGGCCCAGGGGCATATAACCCCGAAATGGTCGCTTTAACCAAACCATCTTCACCAGCATACTCAATGGGAATCCGACATTCGGAATATATTACACAGTTAATGACAGAATAAGGCTGATGATTTTTATATAATCATAAAAATTGTACACAATTATACATTTTCTTTCCTTCAATTACAGATAGATTTGTTGATTTTCGTGTTCTATGACAACTGAATTACATCTAGATTAGATCGCTAATGTTACAACATATACTCCATATCACCAGCCAGTTTGTTTCTAATAAGTTATGTGTATGTTTAAAATTAGAATATTACAATATCAAACAAAAATCTGTATTTGTTTTCTTGATATTCTTGATGTCAATATTTTATGTGTGAGAGAGAAAAAAACAACCAAAGGATAATAAAAGTTATATTTCGCTGTAAGTGTTTTAATTTTGACTTATTAGTAAAATGTTATAATATCTTATTAATTACATTAGTAAAATCAAGGCAGCATACCTAAATGTTAAGTTACACAATAGGCTATCTGTGTTGTGCCTACCACGAGTAGCCAAACCCGGTTTTTAGCGGTGTGAGCCCTCAGACTTACCATTAAGCCACTGGGGAGCATACCTGAATGTTTGTTGTTGTTAAGTGCAATGGGCTATATGTGCTGTGCCCATCACGAATATCTAAGCCCGATTTTTATCAGAAAGTGCGTGTATCTCTCTACCCTCGGAACAAATATATTTTATTCACAAACAGTTAAGTGAATATAAACACGAAGATATCCATAGAAATGTCAACATAAGTAGAGATGCAATGGATAATACTTGGCAGATGACGAGTCTAACATTATGGTAGGTACGATGAAAATAGTATCAGATAATAATAGAATTAGAGGACCACATTGAATGATATGTTTTCGTCCACTTCTGTACTTGCATTCATAAAAAATAATAACTGAACTTCTGTTATATTTATTATGGTAATGAAATAAAAACTTCAGGAACAACAGGAGGAGAAGGGCTTGCTGGGGCGAAAATTATCATAAAATTACCTTAGCTTCACATATAACCCCAGCATCCAATGAAAAGTGCAAAAGCTTTTTTTTTTGTTCTTGTTGTTTCTCTTTTAAGGATGGTATTTGATACGTTGATCTACATCAGGCAGATGGCAGCACTGCCTATGTATGGATGGCTCGGATTGTTCTTCGAAATGGTATTTTAAATATCTCCTCAATAGGTCATCGAAACTAACTTTACAATACTATACAATGTCTATGTAATAACTGACTTACAGGTTCTGGGAATTTCTGTAAATGTCATAATAAAATGTTTAAATTTCTTTTCTTCTTTCTCCTGCTTCTTTTTCATTAGATGATAATCAAAACAATGGGTCAACCAATTTGACTGATGAGACATAGTTTCAAGCGGTGTATCCACTTTAATAAGTATAATTAAGAACTAGTAGTAATTTAAGAAAATATTAATTCTTGTGTAAACGATGTTATCATTACCCCTTGAAGTTAGCTTTCTTAGAGAAAAATGCCGTTCCTTTAAAAACTTAAGTACAGGGTGAAACAGGAATTACCAGCCAATAATTGACAAACAATAAATATTAAGTTGGAACATCGTTGTATTTAGAACTTGGTTCTAAATACGACTTTTATATGTCTATTGAAACACTGTATTAAAAATAAGCAACCAAGTAAAGAAAAAACTTGTGTGAAACCTGACTTTCAGTCCATAATTACAGGGGTGTTTCATAACATTGTGGTATACAGTTACATCTCGTCGGGGCAGTGACAATGAATGGATGGTGGCGGCGACACTGACAGTTACAGGGAAATTTATGAGGCAGTCCTTATGCATAACTAACAAAGGTGGGGATCGCTTGCACCACGCGCGAATAGTGAAGGGTTAAGCAAGCTGTAAAGTGCTCCAGACAACCGTGTTTTCAGATATGGCCTGTAGTTTAAACATTAGACAGAAACAAGGAAGGAAATACAGAAAATAATAATGATAAATATTATAAATATATATTAAACTTAATAATACAAATAAACAATTTTAGGGTATCTCAATTACTGTAATAAATATATACATTTAATTATTTTAAGTAATATATATATTAGTATAATCGCTTATCATGTGACCCATCCATTTATTGTTCAGCCAACCTCAGCCTCTTCATCGAAAGAGGTTGATACTGCCCCGACGAGATGTAACTGTATACCACAATGTTATGCAACATCCCTGTAATTATGGACTGAAAGTCAGGTTTCACACAAGCTTATTAGAAATAAAACAGTCACAGGTTAATGACGTCATGTACTTTGTTGAAAAACTTCTACTAATCTCTTAATTTATGTTCGGTAAAGTCGACTGTAACAAACCGAGTGAGCTTTCTCAGTCCATAATATAAACCTGGTTGTTGTGAATCTGAAGGTAACAGTTCTAAAATCGGATATGCCTATACTTATCTTTGTGTGATGCCAACTGAAGCTAGTGGATGGACATGATTCAGTGTCTGGATGGTTTCACAACTGAAGCTAGTGGATGAACGTGATACAGTGTCTGGATGGTTCCACAACTGAAGCTAGTGGATGAACGTGATACAGTGTCTGGATGGTTTCACAACTGAAGCTAGTGGATGAACGTGATACAGTGTCTGGATGGTTCCACTTCTAGAGTTCTTAGCCATCTAAGATTTTATTGTGGATTATTGTATTATGTAAGTATGCAAAAGTTTTGTGGATATTGAGTGCCTGGCCTTGATTTGGAAAGTCAGTCAAAGGAGTTAGTTAAATACTTCTCACCCTAATTATTCCGAGAACTAGATCAGTTAACTAGGACATCACATGCACTTTCTAGTGAGAAAGATTGCTGTAAATTATTGCACCTTCAAAGTGATGATGATATTTTCTATTAACAAGTCGGATGATGCCGATATAAAACCCTTACTTTGAACTGAGATTGATTATTAGTAACGTTGGTAACATTTGCATCCTGAAAAGATTTGTTATTTTATTTAATGACATGTTTTCTCAGTAAACAACTTTTCAACAACTTTAGAAAGTTTTTTATATAATATGAATTGATTCAGCTTAACTTTACATCACATAAATGCAGTAAAGGTACCCCACACACCCTTTATTTTAACTTCGACTGTCGTGATTTGAAGAAACATTGTTTTATTGTGTACAAAATTGTGCCAAGTCTCTTCCGTTGTAACAGATTTAGTCAAAGTCAGATGTCTACTCTGAAATACATTTTCTAGCAAGCCTCCAGTGATCTTGTAGTTCCTTCCCAATTACTCTAAGAAAGATCAATGAATCTGGGAATAGGCAATCATAGTTTCAAATAACAAGTGAAAAGTAACTGCCAAAACTACAACAGTGAGAGAACAGTCAAATAGTTACTTTCAGAGAACTTGCCTGTAGAAAGTCAACCTGTCGAGGCCACTTCTACTGGATCATCAAGGATAGAACCACTGGTAGATTAGCTTGACCACCTACAAAAGGATAACTCCCCCAATAACAGGACAGCACGTGACGATAAGGAACAAGAGGCCATCCCATCTGGATACCACAACCCTTAGAAGAAAACCACTAAAAAAGCTTGGTGAATGGACAGTTTAATGTATTGTTTTATTTGTGTATTAGGATTGTTCAAGGAACTTCACAGTCCAGGAAGGGGGTAGTTTTATAAGCTATATTTTAAATGTTTTAATTAAGATGTTTGCTAGAGGGAGATAATGATGATGATGTTAGTCATCTAGAAAATGTGTAGATTATGTAGAAAATAATAGTATGGTACAGGGGGTCCCCATTATACGTCGTGATGTATTCCTGGAAAGTGGAACGTACGTCTGAAATGACGTTAAGCAATACAATCTTTAGGGGGGGGGTGCGTTCCTGAAATATTTCGGTTCACTCTTGAATAACTTTTATAAAAGCTTTTTTAACTACAGTGTACTGTACAAAACATGCATGTAAGAACATTAAAGGATTAAACAGTTTTGTGCCAAAGTTAATTGTTTTCCTGGGCTTCTTGTCAAGGGGCACTTTACTATCACTAGGTGCCCACTTTGGAGCTATGTTGGAAGAATGAAAACAAGGCTTTTCTGCAGCAGAAATAAACAATGTGCTTAGAAAATGGCGCGCGAACACAAAGTGTTTACATCTTGGCCAGTATTATACTCCGCCCAGTAAACTAGTCCGACATTGGCACGCTCTAGTAATGAAACAAGATAATGTTATTTCATACAAGGATAGTAACTGGTGAATGCTCTAATAATGAAACGACGGGACCCAGTGTACAAATACAAGAATCTGTGAATGAAAATGAATAATCAGTCCTGTGAAATTTATTGCATTTATTCAGTTACTCGATCGATTATCGAAGTAGCTCTGCAAGTAAGTTTATTTGTAAATTGAGCATACTTACTATTGTCCCGGAATTTCTATTGATGCATTTTCTTGTGCATTTAAGTGTATAACTTGTGTTAAAGTGAACGTATCCTGCAGCAAACATTATTGATGAAATAAAGTAATTCATTTTCATTACATGGACTGTTCTTTCGGTTTATTTTCCATATAAGAATAAAATACTGCCCAGTGATAAAACATTTTCCAGACTGTATTATTCTTTATTGTTTCGAACTTTGTTTATTGTCATTAAACATTTGGTATTTGTGTGGATATGAGCTCGTCTCTTTCCATGCGATGAATCGCAACATGACGGAACTACATCTTAAAGCCCGAGATGCAAGAACCTCCTGTTGTTAGCGAGCCTAACTTTCTGCTCTTCTGGTAATCCGTGAGATACCACATCTCCCAGAAGGTGTAATTTTATTTACCAACTTAACTTGAAAATCATTACACTTGTACTGAAATGGTACTAGAAGATCGTGGATTTTAATTTGTATAGCCATAGGCTACAGAGATGACCAGAAGCAAGGTAAATAGAAATGCAAATTATTATCAAAGATCTTGACAACCTCTTGTATAGATTCCCTCTATTTAGTTATATTTATAAATTCGGTTTGTACTATTAATTATTTGTTATTTTTTGTTGTTGCTGTTAAGCACAAAGCTACACAATAGGCTACCTGTGTTATGCCCACATAACCCAATTTTTAACGCTATAAGCCTTGATACTGTTCCGTCAGCGAGGTCACGTGACTAGTATCACGCCACGTCCTTCTCGAACCTTCGTGAATTATCGGGAGACTACTAGATTGGGGGTAGTCTGGTATATATAAGATGGTCACAACGTGACGGAGGTATTGAGTAATTGAACTGCAGTCAGAGAGTGTGTTCTTGAATTGAGTATTGTTGAAGTCGAGCACGTGAGACGTTTGTTATAGCGCGACTGTTGAAATTAAGTGTATCGCAAAGTTATATTCGGAAAGAATAAACCAGTTTTATTTAAGAAAGGACTTGTGTCGCTAAAGTTTCGTCGGAACAAATTTACAGAAAATTGATTAACAAACGGAGACGTAACAATGCATATCGCTGAGCCATCTGAATTATTTTTAGTAATAAATACACACGCTAATAAAAATATTTCTTTTACGTATTTGTCGTATATAGGTATTTAATAAAGCAAATTATTTGCATTCACGTCCTCTGGTGAGGCAGTGGTAAATTAAAGGGCTTACATTTCTGAAATTTGGGGTTCGATTCCACGTAATGGAAAAAAAAACGCTATAGCTAGTCCAACCGAATGGGCGGCGAGGCTGGGATAATTCCTCAGAGCCCATTACCCACTAGGTGGAGTCCATGAGAATGTCAAAAATATGTATTAAATATATCAAATAAGCACAGAACGTGGCTTTAATCACTTATGTGTGTGTGTGCAGGACTGGCATCCGCACAGGGCACACACCTCAAGGGGCGACAAAATCGACATTGAAATTAATAGTTCTTGTCAATTTTACAGGCGCAGGAGGGCCGAATAAAAACTTCACACATGCAATAATTTTGCCTAGGGCTGGCTCTGTGCGTGTACACAGTATTATTCCAAAAACTTTTCGGGGAGAGGGGGGAGGTACATTCTTCCCTAGGACCTGTAATGGCTCTTGGCGATCCTGCAGATAGCCCATTGTAAAATACTGAATAATAATTTTTGTATTCAGTATTTTTCTATGGAGGCATTGTGAATTATTCACATGAAAATGAACAATCCGTGTTAACTTTGCCCACAATGGATATCGAAATAAAATCCAATTTTTAGTGTTATACGCCCTCAGACTTACCACTGAGTCATCGGGGGGAGCTTATTTCATTATATAGCTTTATTCATTTTTATCAACAGTTTCTATATTTAAGGTAACTAAAATTTGTTTGTTTTTCATTTATGGCAAAGCTACTAAGGCCATCTGCCGTTTCCATAATTTTGAACTGTCGGCCAAAGGGAAGGCAACTGGTCAAAAGCATCCACCGCTAGCTCCTTTACTAACAAATAGTGGATTAGCCGAAACATTATAACGCTCCCACGGTGTAAAGAGAGAGAGAGAGAGCATGTTTGGTGCTAGAATTTGATTCCGCAACCGCCCTGGCCTCTAAGCCTTGTCAGGCCAGGGAACAGAAGAAAAAGTAGCATAACACAATATGTGGACAACATGGAATCATAACGCGACATATGAACCACATGGAATCATTTGGCTCTTCAAGGCTGTTTCTACACACCCATCTTTGAGAAACAGTAGAAATGTACACCCATCCTTTATTTTTGTGGAAATGATCGATTCCCCTTTTAAACTCTTGTAAAGTGCTGGCCTCCACTACTAATGGCGACAATATATTTAATAAGCCAATCAATGTGTTAGAAAAATAAAAATGTCTTAACTGGAGATTAGTTTGTATTTTCTAAATCTTAAATCTTGTTTCTTCTCGTCCTATTACTTTTAAAATTTATCATAAAGAAATCTCTAGCTATTATTATGTCAATCTCCCAGATGATCTTGAATAACAATAAAATCACCTTTAACCTCTCTTTTCTTCAAAATATAACCCTTTTATCCTCTGAATCATCTTCGCCGTCCTTCTCTGATTCCTTTTCAATAAGTCAGTGTCCTTTCTCAGATATGAAGACCAAAATTACTCACAGTATTCCAGTGGGGTCTAGCTAGTGATTTTTATAGAGAGTTTGTTTGTTTATTTGAAGTTAAGCACAAAGCTGCACAAAGGACTAACTGTGCTCTGTCCACCACGGGTATCGAAACCCAGTTTTATAGAGAGATAATTACAAAGTTCAACCATCTCATATGCTTCAATAAAAACTTTGCCGTCAACATCTTTGAGAGCCCAATCCTCAGGTTAACATTTTATTCCTTTAATAAACTTATAAAAAAATCCTTTTTGTTATTTCTAACATTATCAGCCAGCTGTTTCTCATAAGCCCTTGTGGATTTTCTATGTTTTTAATACCATGTTCATAGTTTCCCTATATGTTCCGTAAATCTTCCTTCGTATTTATATATTTAAATAAAGAAATAGGAGATTTAATATTATTTTTATGCATACTAAAGTGAAGTACAAGAGGTCACTGCAATCGTTGGAATCATATGGGTGGTTATCACAACATTAGCGACATACTATGTTGGTTCATTGACAGATGTGGTATTTGAGTTTAGGATTTTTATCGTTCTATGAAATAAATTAGTTTTGATGGTCTTTCAATCCTATTTCCTGCAAATGAAACATGTTGTAAAATATTTTATAACAGTGCAGGATACAGATTAACTCTTCTGCGAATTCTTATTTGCGTTCTTAAAACCTGTGTGCTTTACTTTTATCATATTTTTTCTTTTGTAAATCGAATCCAGTATAGGCGAATTTGTCAATTTTTAGGAACCTTCAGAGTCTTGTTTATATTGGGCAACAATTTGGACACCTAACGATAAGACAGCTAGGTATAATATTTGATTTTTTAAATTAAAGCTTAAGACGTTAAGTTTAATTTGTTTTCACGTTGTTTTATTGGCACAATAATAATGATTATTTCTGTTAATGTTCGTATTACTATTAGTATTACTTGTTTTGTTTTTTAACTAGAACACTCATTTCAACTCCCCAGGCTTATCAACCTTGCTCTAGTATTGGATTTAGAACTTAGAAGTGGATAGGTAGCAATGTAAGTAGCTTGTTTTTTTGTTTTTATAACGCAAAAATCACATATATCGTATTTTGTTATGACTAGTGTTCATTTAGATGCCTCTTATAAAATTAAGAAATGCTTAATTTATTTTTTGCAATTTTTATTTTGTCTATATAAGTATAAGTGGTTTTTTTATTGTCAATATGGGTGAAGTCAGCAAATTTGTATGACAATGCTTTGATTTTTATGTAGCAGAAGAATTAAAATAATCATGTAGTAAACAGTTTGAAGTTATGCACCATATTGCTGTTGATTATGCAGAAAAATAGAAATTATACATTGATTATGCAACATGTTTCTCAAGTAATACAAAATTATAACTAACATTTAAGAGAATGTTAGACACAATTAATGCAATTCCACCATCAACAGGAATTTAAATTTTATTGTGCATGAAATAACAACAAATGCCCTTTTAGACTTAAGTCTTTTAACAAACCATTAATTGGACCATCTGGCCAACAGACACGATCATAACTTAGGGGAAGTTATAAATCTAGTAACATTGACTTAGACTTGAGTTTAATAAGTCTAGAAATTCAAACTTTGATTATGCAGTTGCCCAAGAATTAGGTGGTCATATCTTAAACTTCTGAAAAAATGTCAAGGCCACATAATCACCTTGCGTATGGGGCCTTGATACCAGGAAATGATTTTAGCCAACTATGTATAAACTACAAAGTCTTTAACTTACTTTCAACTTACTAAATATCAGGAGTAATTTGATTCATAACCTTCTTAAATCATAAAATGAGTGAAGAAAATAGTCATGTTCATTTCTTTATACTAGCATGAATAGCTTAGTTATGTTTCAATACCTCAATGAAAGTTAAACATCTTTAAGCCTTTAGCATTATGTACTATTCTTAAGGCTTAGAAACAGACATATAGTAAAAGTAATTGTTCAACTTAAATTGTTTTTATTTATAATAGAGAGGTTTAAAGTTAAAGTTATTGTTCAAAAAAACTTGTACTTTTGTTTTTTGCAATTTATTTAGATATTCCACAAATGTTATCAAATTTCCAGTCCTGTGTACTAGAGAAAATAAAAAATGGTTTGTTGACACTTTAACATAATGTTTTGGTCCATCTCGCCTATTCCATCCTTTAAACTAAATTAAAATAATTAAAAAATAAAATAAAAATCTTAAAGCCAGTCCTTATCATTCATATACTTATCAAGCTTTTTCTTAAACTCACTTAAA